ATCAAGCAGTCTACCTGTGCACTAACTGCTCAAATCGAGAATGCACCACACACAAATCCAGCAGTGTACCTGTGTACTACTCGAGAAGTGCACCGCTGCACAAATCGAGAATGCACCACACACGCATTAAAAGTGGACCTGTGCACAAATCGAGAAGTGCACCGCTTTGGGCCGTAGACTGTTTGACAGTTCGTCTCAGGTCCCACGTCACAGATTTGCCGTGTTTTCCCAGTCGTAATCAGTCGTAATCCAGTCGTGATCCTAGTCGTTATTACCAAAAACGCAGCGTTTACTGAGGATTTGGCTAGAAAGCATGAGTTGAAAGAAATTCAATACAATTCCTTCTTGGAAGAAACTGATTCCGACTGGGCTTATGTGTGTGAGAGTTGATTCCGACTTGGATCACGACTGGATTACGACTGATTAGGACTGGTCAAAAACAGCGCTTTACAGCCGGCTAAAAGCTTTGACCTGCGAAACCAGGCGAACGTGGACAAAAAACAGGGCAGAAGTGACAAGTTGCATTGCAACTGCGCACATGTCAACTGTCCAAGACTGCAGTTACTGCAACCCGACACACGCCTGTCTAGAGGCTGGGGCCACCACAATTTAACCTAAGTCCGGAAAACTTCCCACAAGGTGCTTTGAGCCCACGCCGCGGCAGCGAAAACCAGTGTCTGTCAACTGCTGTTGCCTCTAAGTGGAAGACTTCTGCTGCAAACATGTCCAAGAAGTGTGCTGCGCGCATCCATTTTTGGTCCCACGAAAGGAACGTTGAAACGTGGACGGGTTGGCAGGCCTCCGCAATATGATCTGTGCTTGTGGTCCGCCTTGGGGGCAAAGAAACGAACCAGCATCGACTACGACATTCCAATGAGGTTTCTCATGAAAGGTCACTCCTTTTCACCCCTCTATTGGAAAGCAGTCCACTGGGGTCTGATCGATTTGGTTCGGCAATTGGGATACCCGAAGCTCTTCTGGACGCTTTCGCCCCACGAGTGGTCGTTTCTATACCCAGCTTGGATCCTGGACGAGATGTCCAAGGAGCTGCGTGGCCGTTTGCACTTGGCCGCGCCGGAGAGCCTTCACATCACCCACGTGCTCTTGCAAGTGGTGCGAGGCACGGTTGCATGCCTTCGTCTTCGGTCGATGGTGTCGCTAACGCCGGCCGCGCGCGGTTCTCCGGCCGTTCCGTTCGTTGTTGGTGCTTTCGTGGCCTGGTCGTTTCCGCTCGGAGGTGCCTTGGCCGGCCAGACGGGCAACAAGTCTAAAGATCCGTGGCGCAGCCATCTCCTCTACGCCTTGGACTCCGATGGGCGTCCGCACTCGGTGCATGTGTTCTTGCGGACCGAGTTCCAAGATGGCACCAGGAAGGCGCCGACGCAGGACTATCACGGCTCGGGCCGCCCCCACGTCCACGTCCTCGTGTTTGCGCCCAAGGAAGCACTCCGCAACATGAAGCTCGAGGAGTCCGTCTTGGCCACGCGGCCGGAGCCCTTGGACGAGAATGATCCTTTGCCGGGCATCGTGGAGGGCTCGCAGCTGGACCGGGCAGGTCGCAGCGGATGGCCACTTCACATGGAGAGCAGCCAATGGGACTCGGCCACAGACACTCTCTTGCTTCATCACAACCGGGATGACAAAGCCGGGATGACAAAGCCAAGGGGCTTCGACCCTACTTCCTTCCCGTCATGGAAGCCTTGCGCTGCCACCAGGATTTGCAGGTGGCTGACGACGATGGGGTGCTTCGGTCCTACGTGGCCAAATATGTGAGCAAGTTCAGTGATTCAAGTCAGGACGAGTGGCTCAACGACTCCGCCCAGGGCAACGCCATCGCCGCCACGGTCCTCTGCCGGTATCGGCCCTGCGAGCCCGAGATGGCGCTGCAGATGCTGGGCGCTCGCTTCCGGCAATGGTTTGTCAGCACCGAAGGCCGTGGCAAGCGAGACTTCGAGGTACCGTGGCCCGACAAGCCGAGGCAGCCGGCGGAGGTCGAGCAGTACATATCCGCGCCTTGGGCCGCCGGCCACATTTCCTTGTTGGATTTCCTTCGCAAGACGAACCGCAGTGGGCAAGTCGTGGCATGGCTCAAGAAGCTTCATAAGGCCAGCGGCAGTGCAGAGCCCTTGGAATCTTTCGCCGCCGACTTTGTGGTGCAAGGGCAGCAGATCGTGGCCGCGGGCACCCTGAGCAAGTTCAACGACAACTTCTTCGGCCAGTGGCTGCTGCTACATGTCCCTTTCCGCCGGCTGGAGGACTTCTACGAGCCCATCGAAGACAAGTTGGCCTTGATCCCCAAGGAACACCGCAACTTTGCCATGGCCGTCCTCTGCGAGCACCCGGTCGCCAGGGAGATGTGGCGCGACCCTGACCGCTTCGAGGCGGAGTTGCGCCTGGAGGCAACCACAAAGTCCTTCGTGAAGACATTGCTGGGCATGGTGGCCGCTCATCGCTCGCTGGTGCACAAGTACTTGTCCGGCGCGGCCGACGCCGCCGCGGAGGAAGCCGGACGAGAGGCCAACCAAGCGGCCGCCTTTGCCGCCGGGCCGGCGGACCATCGGTTCAATCGGCAGCAGCGGCGCCTCCAGGGTCGGGTGGACGAGGCGGTGGTCGCTACACGGCGGCCAAGACCGCGGAGCACGAGGAGGCGGCCGAGCAGTGGGTGGAGGATGCTTACCGGAACGGCAAGATCTTCGCTTGCACCGGCGGGCCAGGCACGGGCAAGACCACCGTGGCCTTGGCGTGTTTGCAGCGGGTGCTCGAGCTCGGGGGCAACGTGCTCTTTGCCTATCCCACGAACCGGCAGGCCAGCCGCATGCGAGCCAAGCTTCCGCCGAAGCTGGTCATCGACACCTACCACGCCGCCTTTGGCCTGGACGAGGAGCCCGGGGGGGGCGGCGGTCGGCTTGGCGCAGTACGCCTTGATCATCATCGACGAGATCTCGCAGATGCAGGCCCATCACTTCGAGCACGTCTGCAAGCTGTGGGCGCAAGCCGACAACCTTCCGGTGATTTTGCTGGCCGGAGACGAGCTGCAGATGTGCGGCTTCGGCGACCGCCGCGTCTGGCACAGCCCCTGGTGGAAGCGCGCGGTTTTCCGATGAGGTCTACCGCTGCAAGGACCCGGAGTTCAGTACGATCTTGCAAGAGCTGCGAACCAGTCGCCCCGGAGCGAAGACCCTCAAGTGGCTCCAGAAGCGCAAGGCCTGGACACCACCCCACAAACTGGACGTAGCGGCTGTGCAGAAGCTGCTCAAATCCCATCCTGACACGGTCGTCTTGACCTGCACGCGGAACGGAGCGCAAACCATCAACGAGCTCGCCCTCCAAGCGCTGTTCCCGCGCTTTCCTCCACTGGCAGTCGTGGATGGAGATGTGGCTTCCAATCCTGAGAATTACCACGAAGGAGCCCTGCTGGAAGACCTCCACGCCTTGCGCCCGCTCCGCCTGCCCATCTTCAAAGGAATGCGAGTGGTCTTCACACGCAATGTACGCAAAGATGTCGACTTCGTGAACGGCATGGACTGCGTGTTGCAAGGCTATGAGGGTCGCACCAAGGCAGTGGAAGTGTTGACGGCCACGGGGCACCGGGTCATGGTGTGGCCTTGGACCGACCCCGAGCTCGGCAACCTCAGCTACTATCCCCTGAAGGCAGGCTATGCCGACACCATCATCAAATACCAGGGTGCAGAGCTGAAGCACGTTACTGCCTTCTTGGATTGTCCCGGGGTCCCTGGGGCTGCATACACCGCCCTCAGCCGAGTCAGCTTTGGCAAGGACGTGCTCATCGGTGGCGTGGTGACCGCTGCGCACTTTCAACCGGTCGACGAGTCCTGAGGCCGTCGGTTGGTTTCTGCTTCGCCGGCAAACGCGCCGGGAGGTAATTCGATCCATTTCGTATGTTTGGCCGGTCCCTCGCTCGTGCCCGTGCCGAGCGATACCGGTCCACCATGAATGAATCTATTTTACCTTTCAACTTTTGTCCGGAGCGCGCGCGCTCCTTGTTTCAAGCGACCCGGTCGCCACGACACAGCGACGACACGACGAACACAAAAGCGAAAGCCCGCGGCCTGTGCTCGTTTCGACATGCGTTTTCTCTCACGCCCCGTCCTTCATGCACCACCTGCCAGGCGCAGCTCGCCCGTCCACGTTGCGACGCGCGCGCCTTCCTCTCCAACGGCCCTATTATTGGCGTGCCTCAACTGCATCTTCGTTTCGGGCGGAGGTTCGGCGCTTCGCTTCCTTCCTCTCGCTCGCGCCGCCCCTCCGCCCTAGAATGCGCGACATGCATCCATGCATCGACAAAAATCAAAAAATGGAAGTAAAAGGGTGGTTAGGCCAACCAAGCCTGAGGGTTCAAAGAACCCTAAACTCTAAAAGGTTAAGGTTCTGGTGGAGCGCCAGCGGGGGTGGGATTTGTCCGCGGACGCGTGCGCGCGTGTGAATGGTGAGGGGGGGCGTGAAAGCAGGTTGGATAGCCCCCCCGTGAACACACACGCGCGCTTGACCAGCGACACCCTAAACGCTAAACAGGCGAGACCGCCGCAACGATATCCATCGGCGCTCAACTTTTGGCTCGAGACTCTGCCTCGAAGCCTCCACTGAACTGTGGGGCTGGTAGGGTAAAGCCTACCAGTCCAGCTGCAATGCAAGCACGTGAGCCATGCGAGGATCCACTCCCATGGCGCAGCCATAAAGGTATAACCCCTAAGTCCTCATCATTTGCATGTGGGGGGGCGGGATCTTTATTTACAGGCCCTCTCGTAGCACAGGATAGCCTTTAAAGGCCTTCTCGTAGCACAGACTTGCCTTTAACAACCCCTGTTGCCTCCCTGGTGCCTAACAGGCTGTCCAAATGGATCTTTCCTGCTTCCCTGGTGCCTCGCAGGCTGTCCAATTAATCCTTTCCTGGGTCCCTGGTGGTTCCCTGGTGCCTCCCAGGCTGTCCCATTAGTCCTTTCCTGCCTCCCTGGTGCCTCCCAGGCTGTCCAATTGGTCCTGTCCTGCCTCCCAGGTGCCTCCCTGGTGCCTCGCAGGCTGTCCAATTAGTCCTTTCTTGCTTCCTTGGTGCCTCCCAGACCGTCCACATGATCCTTGCCTGCCTCCCTGGGCCTCCATGCGGGACGATGCCGTGCTGAGGTGTGGTCTGCTAGCACCTCTTGGGCTGTCCAAATGGTTGTTCGGTGGCCCTTGGCTGTCTCCGGGCAAGCAAAATCAAATTTGGCCTTGGCAGATTACTGGAGTCAGTTGATCTTGCCTTCGCAAATTACTGGAGTCATGTGGTCTTGCCTTGGCAGATTACTGGAGTGATCCAATCTCCCTCGTGGCGCCGTCACGCAGAATCCTGTTCTAAAGGCTTTCGCAGCACAGATTCTCTTCTCAAGGAAGGCCCTCGTGGCTTGGCCACCCGAGGTCGAAACCCGATTTCGGACGGTCGCCAGATTTTGTCGAAATTTCAGTACAACTTCAATGGCGAACAACCCAGCTCACGGCAATTTCTAGGGTAAGTAAGCCCCACGGCCGGCTTCCCGTAGCCATGTAAAAGCTGCTCGCAGTACAGATTTGGTAAAGCCGATAACTAAAATCATGCAAACGAAACAACATAGAGAAAATTTCTATCCACATTGGCAACGCCAATTCTCGGCGCGATCGAGCGCCGGAGAATACACGTCTTTCCCAATGCTTTTCGCACAGGATATGCGCGGATGATGCGGTCCGACAAAGGGTTTCCAAAAAACCCTAAACCCTAATAGTTTGTAATTTGGGCGGTTGGGGTGGGTCCATTAGCTGTGCGGGCGCGCGTGTGTGGTGAGGGGGGCGTGAAGGGAGTTTGGAGAGTCCCCCGTGAAAAATTCACGCGCGCCTCTCCATTGCAAACCCTAAACCCTAAACCCTAAAACCCTAAAACTAAAGCGAGCGATGTTGTCCGCGACGCTTAGGAGATCTGAACATCGCGAGCGCTACCCGCACGCTGAGTGCCGGGCATCGAAAAGATTTGAGATGAAGGAGCCTGACAAGGTGAGCGCAAAGAGTTAGCTTTGGCATTTGTATCCTTACATAAAGGGTGCATAGCGCAGTCTGCGCTTATAGTTTATACTAGTATATTATAATGCCCTAAAACCCAAGGTCTGGGACCCGAAAGGGTCTGTGAAGTTTTTCCTTGCTGGGTGTATTCTGCCTCCCTGGTGCCTCCCTGGTGCCTCCCAAGCTGTCCACTAGGTCCTTTCCTGCCTCTCTGGTGCCTCCCTGGTGCCTCGCAGGCTGTCCACTAGGTCCTTTCCTGCCTCCCTGGTGCCTCGCAGGCTGTCCAATTAGTCCTATCCTGCCTTCCTGGTGCCTCCCAGGCTGTCGAATTGGTCAGGATTCCTGGTGCCTCCCTGGTGCCTCCCAGGCTTGGCAGAACCCAGCCCTGCCTTGGCAGATTACTGGAGTCACCCGGTTTTGCTTTAGCAGATTGCTGGAATGGCTTTTGCCAAAGTGCACCCAACCAAATGCCTACGATCATATCCGTAATCTCTGCTTCGATTGCACCTTTCTGGATCATCTGGCCCTGGGATTTTTCCCCTTGACAATACCCCTTGCCTAGACTGTAATCAAGCCAAATGTTTTTGCTTCAATTGGCTACTGCCAAACTGCCCCCAACCAAAAGCCTAGGGCGACATCAGAGGTCCGTATTTCAATTGATTGCAACTAACTGGATCCCTGCTTTCATCCTATGGTCCTTGCTATAATTGGCGACCGCCAAAATACCCCCAACCAAAAACCCACATCCAAACCCAATTTGAAAATGAGCGCAGCTCTGCCCGCCCGGCTTCGGGTTTTCATAAAAAAACCCTAAACCCTAATAGATTACAAGTTTGGGTGGTCTTGGGGTGGGTGGTAGCGTCCAGCTACGACGCGCCGCCCCGCGACCCTTTGAGTCGAGGCGCGTCGTTTCCCACTGGAAACCCTAAACCCTAAACCCGAAAACCTGAAAACCCTAAACCCTATACCCTAAACCCTTTGCTTGGAGAACACCCTCCTGGCCTTGCCGTGGCAAATCAGGGTTCTGGGTTTCACCCCCTTCCCTGGGGTTCACCCCCTTAGCGTTGCCTTGGCAGATTTTGCACAAAACCCAAAAACCCACAAAGGGCAACCTAAACCCTGGAAGGCTGAACCCCAGAAGGCTGAGGGTTTGGACCCTAACCCTAGAAGGCTGAGGGTCCAGGAGGCAGAGACCCCAAACCCAGAAGGACTTGGCGGATAACTGGAGTCACCCACCAGACCCTAACTGGGGCAGCCTGGGAGGCACCAGGGAGGCAGGAAAGGACCAACTGGGCAGCCTGCGAGGCACCAGGGAGGCACCAGGCAGGCAGGAAAGGACCAATTGGAGACAGCCTGCGAGGCAGCAGGGAGGCACTGGGGAGGCAGGACCTGGACAGCCTGTGAGGCACCAGGGGGGGCGAACCTCTAGAAGAGAAGCCTGCCAAGCCACAGGGAGGCCAGAAAAGCACAAGAGGAAAGAAAACCCAAAGAGTGAGGGGCAATTGAACCCAGGACCTTTGGCAGACACGGTCTCGAAGGGAAAAGCCCCCCCACCATTCACACGCGTGCCGCGTCCGCGGACAAATCCCAACCCCGCTGGCGCTCCACCCAAACCTCAACCTTTCAGGTAGGTTTAGGGTTCTTTGAGCACTCAGGCCTGGCCCAACTACCTGTCTCTTTCGGTTATCAGCTCACATGGACATGGCGACGAGGAGCGACGGAGGGGCGGCGCCAGAGAGAGCGAGAGAGCGAAGCGCCGGCCGTCCGCCTGTCGTGAGTGCGCACCTTCGACACTGCAAGGGAAGAGTATCAGTCAAAGGGTTGGCTTTGGGTCTGAGGGCAAGGTTGGAAACGACGTCGTAAAGCCAAGCGAGCTGTTGCAGAACATTGCAGAAAACCCCGACGCATGGCAAGGGTGTGTGTTTGGGACGAAAACGCAAGGCCCGACAACCGAAAGGCAATGTTGGAACCAACGTCGCAAGGAAGAGGGAGCGTGCCCAGGTGAGAGTTGGGGACTGAACGGCAAGGTCGGGCACGTGTGTGTGGGATTCTGTTGACGGAAGGCCTTTTGCGAAGCAGTCTGTTCGACGGCTGTGGGGCCCACCCAGGATTTGGCAGGAATCAAGCTGGTCGCCATTGAAATTTGCTCAGCGGAGCAGCTCCCACAGGTTTCTCACAGGTTTGCTTGGGACTTCAAGTCCTGTGTCAATTTCTGGCAACCGAACCTCATTGGTTGCACCAAAGGATTTGGCCGGCAGCGTTCCCGCGCTTTCGGCGCGGTTCGAGCCCGCAGGAGCGACCCAAGGCCCGAGTCCTGCCCGCACTTCGGCCAACCATGTTGTGCTGCGAGACGATCCATTTCAAAGCGCAAAAGTCCAAGGAAAGGAGACTAGTAGTCTCGAGGGTATTCAATGAAGAAGACCCTAAACCAAAATATAGCGGGAACACGAGCCATGCAAAGCGAGCACCAACTGGAGGGGGCCGTTAAAGAAGGTTGGATAGGTTCCCGGAGTCGAGAGGTGCGAGTGGACGCGGCTGCACACCCTAAACCTTGAAGGCTTCCTCGCTCGTAGCACCAGACTGCCTTTAAAGGCCCATTTGCAGCACAGACTCCTTTCCGACAGGCCTTAGTGGCGGGGCGCAACAGATTGTCCAAATTCCCACGCTCCCGCGGCCAGCGCTCGTGCGGGGGGGTATCTTGGCAGCCCTAGTTGCACAGAATCTTCTTCTACAGGCCCTCGCGGCACACACTCCTCTTGGACAAGCTCTTTTGGCACAGAATCCGCTTCCAACGGCCCTCGTAACACAGAAGC